GAAAGAGTCTTTGTAGTCTGATTTACTGTATCATGTAGCTTTGAGATTATGTGTGATATAGCAGACCACTTTCCTTGGTGTTTTGGTGAACTTTGATGTGGAGAAGCAGAGACAATGTCATGTTAGAAAGGTGTTTAATTTGTAGCTGTCAGATGGGCATATACAAATAACACCAAGCCAGAATCAACTGGGGAGCTGGGCCTTCAAAAGCAATTTTGCTTATTATATGAGTGTCTTTATGTATTGGCCCCTGTAGAAGATTGTTCTGATCCATTTTTACATCACACTTGAAATATGGTCTCAAACTCAGAAACTGATACTAGGATGTACCACTGGGTACAGTGGTTCTCACCTGATTGTAGACATCTTAATCTCATCTAATCAATAGAGAGAAGCTGATGTTTCTGCAACACAGTTACTCTCATCCTAATGTGATTGTCTTTAATATTCTGACATTTACAGAGCTCTATCTTCCTTCCTAAATGTTAATACAGCCTCTTGTGCCTGTGACTGGGAACATCTTCATTTAGAAAGCATGAATCATGCCCTAAAAGTGTCTTGACCTTCATTACGAAGGAAGACTCGGTTGACTTACTAAGATTTAAATGGCTGTGTTGGAGACACCTAAACCCAGGAGATCTCCTTAATGTTTGTGGGCAGGCTGAGCTTTTTGGGTTTAATTATAAAGATTTCTGTTGTGATGCTTTATGTGGAAGAAAGAAAACATCAATGTTTTCTGCTTTAAGGAATGAACAGTATAGACAAGTTGGGCATCAACACAATATGAGGAGGTGTTTTCAGAATGTTTTTACTGCATTGTTGATTCATGTGTGTAGAGAGAAGTCTAGGGTGCGTTGTGCAGCATTTAAAATTGAACACAAGCACACATAAGGATTAAAAAAAATATCCTGCCAATAGGGAGGCAAACAAACAGTGATATGAGAACATAATCTGTTTGTAAACTTCCATTTCTATAACTTCTGGAATTCCTGGCTTTTATTCAGTGGCTACTCCTGAAAGCTAGGCCGCTGGAGAAATCTGCTCTTTTTGAATATAAAAATAAAAGCAGCACCTTTAAAAATGAGACAACCTTCAGCACAGGTTTGACTAGCTCACTGTCTCTGTTCATTGCATTGTTATGCAAGGACAATTTAAGCTGATTATTGCCACTTGAATTTAAACAGATTGCTTTTTTAAAAAACAACTTAATTTCCCATGCAGAAAGTGAAATACTTGAGAATGCTCTTTAAACAAAATAGCAGAAAGTAATTATTCAGAATAAAAATACAGGAGTAAGAACCAATAGAGAGGTGTAAAGTAATCAGAACTAGTTTTTCTTCTTCCCAAAGGGGAGGAATACTTCATGTATTAGGCTTAGGTATAGGCTTCTGCCAGCTTAAGTCCTGGGAGCTGAAATATTAGCTGCTGTCTTTCTGGGCGTGATCTGGGGGATTTTGAATCATCTTAGCCTCCAAATTGCAAAGTAGGTCAAATTAATTCAATTGCTACTTAGAGCAATCAAGAGAAGAAGTTGAAATGAAAGCAAACTGGGGAAAAATGCAAACCTTGGCACGACCAGCAACTGTATTTATTCTCGAGTCAGTTGGCTTGCACAGACTCAAGTGCAAAATAATTCAGATAAGTATTGTGTAATGAGTTCACAAGAAATTGAGTAGATTTGTGGTTTTTTTGAATATCGGGCTTTGGGAGCATTTTAAAGAACAGTTTTGGGAAAAGATTTGGGAATTGAAACCAACCAATAAGCATGTTTGTAGTCAGAACAAGTTTTTGGGGTTTCTTTTTTTTTTTTCTGTCTTCCTCCCCCCGAACTATCTGTCTTATCTTCATACTATACGTTAGCTGATAGAATAGTGAGAGGGGTGATGCTTTGGTGAAATTGAGTTGCAGTTACCTGACATAAAAAGCTTAGATTATCAGTACTCTGTACTCTTGAGTCCTTGAGTTATTGCTTGTAACAGTTTAAGGATGAAAGTACAGACTGAAATGTTTGAGGCATTATCTTGAATTTATAGATTTTCACTTTTTATTGCATACAAGCTGATGAATGCGTTTTGATTTCTGTGTTGGGTCAGGAGCATAGGGTAGGTAGCCTTATGGAGAACCATTATTCTTTAAACTGAACTGTGATGCATTTATCTTAAATACAGAATATTATATTGTTACCATTTTCCAGAGCTGCATGAAAGGTGTGTTAAGTAATGAAAACAGGAACAGTAAGTAGAATAATTTGGAATTACTTCATTTTGTGTAATTTTTCTATTGAATTATTTGGCTTTGCTCTTTCATGTGTCTGTTTTACCAAGCTGAGATGTTCTGATGTAGAATCTCTACCATAACCTAGTTGTCATTTTCTTAAAATAAATAAATAAATAAAAGGAAAGGAAAATCAATTCTTGCAGTCATGTCCTTGTTTGCAGTTCAGTTCTTAAATATCTCTTCTGTAGTTCTTTAAGATTATAAATACTGCCATCTCTTAATTTGCAGCACATTGACTCTGGTGCATTTCATCTTGCTCAGTTGTTGGTAGGTTGCAGTAGGACAGGAACTGGTAGAAAGTAGTTGCATTTTTTTCTTCTTGGTGGCTATGTCTCTGTATAACCCAAGAAATACTCATCCTCTGCCTTGCCCCAGTGTCTAGGCTCTATAATACATAGTTTATAGAGCAGTTATAAATTCATTGAGTTTGAGGTAGTGACTCTTTCTTAAAGTGGAAAACATTAAAAGCTGGAATTAATAATTGGGCTATTTTTACTAGTTGACCTTGCAGCATGTTTCCCATGTAGATGTTTAACCCTGTGTGTTGTCAGAACAGAGTCTTTTCTTAAGAATTCTTAAGAATTTTTCCCATGAGTGTTTAAGCTTTGATATCAGTACCTGACAGGAAAGTTGTGAAAATCTCTGTTTCCCTGGGATGGGAGGTAGTGAAATCTCTGCTGTGTTTTTCAGTAGCAATGACTGAACTCCATTTAAGTTGTTGTTGTTGTTTTGGAGCTGCTTTTTTTCTTAATGTCTCTGCTGACATTAATAAACCTCTTTATTTTGCAGGGAGCTGATAGCTAGTGATGAGATGTACTTTTTTTCTTTACCCCCACCCTGTTTAGAGGAACTGTCTGAGGTGTTGCTGGCCTGTCTGAGCGAGCACGAACCTGCCTGCTTGTTAAAATCCACAGCTACCTTAAAACCTGAAGTAATCTGATTTCTTGCAAGTATGACCAAGAGCGAAGCCAGCCAGTTAAGTTTAGGTATGAGAGATGGTAAAGTCTCAGGAATAAGTATCATACAACTCCTATTTCAAGGTGGGAAATATATAATCAAGTTAACTCATATGGTTTTTTGCACCAACCTTCTGAACTGTTTCATCACAGGATAGGAGGCGCTACCATTTTACTCTGACTTCTTCCTGCTTTTACTCTGTAGAGTGTTGTTTCACACCTTCAGATCTGATGTTAAGCTAGGACTTGTCTGTCTCTCTTGAAATGAGGAAACTTTTTTTTCTCTCTTTCTAGCCTCCCTTCACTAAATATTGGTGTTTTCACAGGTGCCCTTGCCTTCCATTGACTATGGCAAGGTGTGTGCATGTGACTTTCAAGTTTTCCTCTAATCACTCATCAGACAGCTCTTTGAAAGAGGAGATGATTAATGTCAGTTACTCAAAATGCCAGGGGAATTTTGGAAGGGAAGGTTTAACAACAGAAATACAGGTCCTCAGAACTGTATGATTTGCACGCTTCATGAGGTAGCACGTGATCCATCCCACTGTAAACTCTGTGACTCAAGTGGTGTCAACAGCTTTGTTCCAAACCCTAAATTAGCCACCTTCTTATTCTGACTTTCCTGTAAATTTTACTACTGTAAATTGAACACTATTCTTAGGACTGTCTGCACATTTAGGGGCACAGTAGCTGAATGTAGATTTTGTACATCACAACAGAATGGAAGTTTTCATTCCCTTGTTACGTAGCTTCTATTTAGTAAGTCCTGGAATGACTTAGTTTTTGCATTCTAGCATGTGATATATAAGATTTGAAATAGCAAGAAGTGGTTTCACTACAGTTATTTATAGAAACATGAGTGTTAGTGATTAATATATCCCAATTCAATACCTTGTTTCCAAGAGTCATTGGACTGAAAATACCTTTTAAAGACAGCAGTTCTAGATTAAAAATGAGTTTTGTAGTCTATGTTTAGCCAGCACAAGCACTGGTTCCCCCAACACCAAATACTGTGTAAGAGTTAGCCAAAGAAGATAGTCACAGGGTTTTCTGTTGCTATTTTGTTTCGTGCAACATGGGGCTCTACTGGGACCACCTACTGACAGAATGATGCATAGGGAACTGAGGCACTGTAGGATCTAAACTATGAGTAGAGAATATCGGACTATCTGTTATCCAGGGCTCCCAGCCCATAGTGCTGTTCTTAGAGGAGAGCAGGGGTGGTGCCTAATGCTGGGTAGGTGAACTTGAAGATGTGATTACTTCTCTGCCAGGGTATTGAAGCAGGGTCTGATACATGTGTATGATAGCAAGTCCACTTTGCTTGTTGAGGCTTACAGATGTCAGGGAGCTGTTGGAGATCGTTAGTATAGGGACAGCTTTGATCACCACAAAGACCAGTTCTAGCTTGATAGATTGTCATTCCTCACAGAGTATTTGATCTGAAAAGCGCTGATTGAGATGGTGTAGCTGGTAGGTTGGTGTAGCTGAAACTCCAATAAGATGTAGTCTGCCTCACTTGCACATTTCTCCTTTTGTGCAAGCCAAATGTGGGGAAGCCGACTGCAGCTGGCAAACTGCAAGCATCTGCAACTAACTTACCACTACAAACACCTAACCTGCTGTGCTTTCCTTCCATCTAACTTTTTAGAGACTTCATACTGTAGCATGGAAATTCTTTACAGGATGAAGGTTTAAGTGTAGCTACTGCTGTGTTGATATAGCAGTTTTCCCTGTGATGAAGATGGAGCTACAGACACAGCTCCCCATATTTGATTCTGTCTTCCCAAGAAGCCTGTAGGTGTGTGTCACGCTGTTGACATTGCATAGAAGGGTTTGTGTCAGATAATCAGTGTACCCATTGCTATACGAGATCTGTGCACCTATTTTACTACTGCAAATGTAAAATGCTGGAATATTTCTGAAAGTGGCCCAAGTACTTCTGAAAGCTAAATGTCCTTCCTTTTCTCTGGCAAAAGTCAGTAGGGAAGTGTGCTTGATGTCCTCTTAAAATGACCTCCTAGCAAAGCTTCCCTGTATCTTCTCCTTGCTTCTTCCAGCAACATAAACTACTATTAAAATTACAGTGTAAATATCTTTGTACGTGCCAACTGGGGAAGGAGATCAGCTGCTTTCAGGTCATTGTGGTAGAACCTGCCTTCTGTTTGCAAAGGCTCTGTTACTTCAGCTGGAGATGCTGGTGAGGCATGAGGTCATTTGTCCCCATTTGTGTAAGTGAAGTGTCCACTCCTCATGCAGCCTCTTTCCTATGCTTCAGGAAGGCCAGAACATTGCCTCCAATGAAATAATTAACCTGTGAGCTCATCATGCCATTTAAAATGACACTAAATGGAGTGTTGTTCTCTGCTAAAGCAGCATCTGTGCTTTTAGGGGTATTACATCAGACTGCCCCTGTAAGACTAATGGATAGCAAAGCAAATCCCATTGCTGACTACTTTAGAGGCTAAATATTACTACATTTTTCTCTTGGCTTTTCAGAAAGTTTAGCTTTTATTCTGAGCTTCCAGCTGAACACTTTATGAATGCTGTGAATTCTTCCAGGTGCTATATAGTGCAAACTTCACAGCACTGTGTTGCGATAAAACAATTGGGCATTTCAGTATTCAAGGTGATGCTCACACACTGCGTGCTTTGCCTTCTAAAGCTTCCCAGCAAATGCTTCCACAGGTTTGCTTGTACATTAGACGGACTTAACAAAGTTGGGGTTTTTTTTTGGTTTTTTTGCCTCCAAAGATGACTGACTTTGATTACCACATCTGCTTTTTCTTTCCTTCAGTGATGGGGAGGGAAAGAAAAGAACATCAACTGTCTGCAGCAGTGAATCTCTAAATGCTGTGGGGGCCACGCTCACACCTCGCCGCATCTCCTGGCGGCGGAGAATATTTCTGCAGGTAGCTTCACCTATGAATAAATCTCCTTCCAAGATGCAGCATCCAGGTCTGTGTGTGCTTTTAAAGAAAATAAACAAGCAGTTGTTACCGAATAGTTATTACTATAGTGAACTGCAATGTGTGAAAATATGAAAGGGCGAAGGGAGTCAGCTTGATACAATATTCTTGCTTGAACCTCACTAGAGATCAGTTGTGCTCAGTTGGCTTTAGGTCTTTGTTGCTTTGTGCAGAGGATTCTGTCATCAAAAACAAATGAATTGCAATCTGCTGAGGCTGCACTGGTAGCAAGGAAACTAAGAACTACCTCTTGCTGACAAAGATACCCTCTTAAACAGCAAATTTTTACCCCAGCCTTCTTACATAATAGCAGTGTTTGCAGAAAATGGTGGTTTTTCTGCCTTGTCCTTCTACTGCACATAGCAGCTGTTGAATGTGTTAATAATTCTTATAGCTTTAGGTCATTTAAGGTAGACACCTCTGAAATATCTGAAATCCTGCTATGTTGATATAGTCCCACTGGTGGAATTCACAACCACAGGTAAATGACAAGCCCTATATTTAGTGACCGTAAAGTGCTATAGCCCTGCCTATCCTATAGTGCAGCTTAGCAGATGGAAAAAGTTGCTTTTAGTATCAAGCCTGTGGTAAATCACAGCAGTAAACAAGCTCAGCTGTAAAGCAGACTTTATGGATAAATGTCTCTTTGTAACTGTAGAAAGAGGCAGCAGGGGAAGGGGTTGAAATACTGGGCGACTATTTTAACTTTATTTACTTTAAATACAACTTTAATTTAAATAAAAGACTTAAAAATAATTCTATACTGTTGAACTGCATTTTCTGTCTTTGACATCAGCATCTCACTGCTGAATGTGGAAGACAGCTATTTTTGTTCTGCTGTGACTTAGATTTTTGTGATGTGTCAAACAATCTGAGTTTCCCGTAATAGCTTTCTGATTCTTTGCAGATGGTCATGATGGAAGTGAATTGTTACCATTATCCCCTCTTGCTCCACCTTTGGAGGAGGACCCTCTTGTTCTAGTATTGCAAAATGAGGATGGTCCAGATAAAACTGGAGAGAGGAAAAACTCAGAAGAACTGCAAAGTCTCTGGAGAAAAGCCATCCATCAACAAATTCTGTTGCTTCGAATGGAAAAAGAAAACCAGAAGCTGGAAGGTTAGCTATTTAGAAAATACCCCTAAAAACTATTACAAATTCTGCTGCCTGAAGCTGAAAACTGCTAGTGTTCAACACCTCAGAGATGTGGTTCTGCAATTTTTTGGTTAACAGTTCTAGAAAAAAAATGTCTTCTTCCAGTCCTGTCTCACAGTCTACTAGGTTCTCTCTACACTTTCCAATTCTTAAGGAGTCATCTCAGTTAAAGAAGAAAGTCATAACTTTTCCTTTTGTAGTGCATGTTAGACAAACTGCAGTCTGTGTTCTAGCTGACTAAGTCTAGGACTTCTAATATGAAGTGGAATCGGAACAGATGCTGTGTGAACACTTAGGTATGGTAAACCTTATCCTCTATATCTCATTTGCAGCACATGGCATTTCTTTCCAGGCTTTCTATCCTTCATTAACCACATCACAGTGGTGATTTATAAATATGGTTTTTGAGCAACTGGCTCTTGAGGTACGTCAAAAAGGGTTTTTTGGGGTTTTTTGTTGTTTTTTTTTTGGTTTTTTTTTTTAAGATGGGCACTATACACTGAAAATTGAGTGCTCGTACTGAGGGATCTGAAGTTGACTGTGAAGACTTGTTGGTTGCCTGAGCTTCTTGCTAAGTTTTTATTATGACTGATCAAGACTCACACAAATGAAAGACAAGATGCAATGTCTATCCTAGCATATGGAAGTTCTTCAGTATAATAGGCTGATAGCTTTTGGTGCAAGTTAAAAATTTCAAATGTTCTTTCTGCAATTGCTACCCTCATCTTCTGTATGGTTTATAACCTCGTTATATGGTAGTCTGATTGTTCAAACAAAACATAATGATCTTGTTAAGGTCAGTGAACTCTTTTTACATCTTTAGTGGGCCTTACTGAGAAGGCAAGGCACAGAAAAAAAACCAGCAGGGACTGAAGTCTTTCCGTGTCCCTACAAGTGTACATCCTTGAAAATATTTCCTACACGTGTAACGCATTTGTCTGTGGGCACTCTCTGAAGCTTGTCTCCCTGTTGACACACACTTCTGTGGAGAGTCCTGCATTCATAGGAAACATCTAAAGAGAAGTCTTTTAACTTCAGACAAAATCTTGGTTTAATGTTTTAGCAAATGGTCAGTCTACTGTTGTGGGGTGTGGAAGCTGGATGTCTGCTGTAGTGACTAATTTTGTGTTATTCCCTCTGGTAGTATGAGCTGCTGAGGGTGAAACTCTTTCTGTACCTGTGTGGCTGGAGGTACTGAAAACTGTTAAATTGATCCAGTTCCTTAAGACTCAGTTATAAGTTATTTCTGTTCTGTAATGAATATGTAGAAAATAAATTCTGCCAAGTTCTGCCATTCGTGGTGAAAACAGGAATGTCAGCAGTGGAGGCTCCAAACTGGCACTTGTTTGCCAGCCTGCATCTTGGTTTGTTCTCCAAAGAGCATGTCTCCATTCTTGTGTGCAAGTTCATAAGTACTGCTAGTGAAACTGGTACTCTGGCTAGCTGGAATTCATTATCTTATTTTCAAAGGGTGAAAAGTAAACCGTCTTAACACCTGCCTCTAGTCTTCCTTCCAGTGGGCTGCTGTAACATGGACCATTTTATGGACAGGACATATGCAGAACTGATAGATTCCAAACAAGCACCAATTCGGGCAGTGGTTGGTGTTCTAGGCTACAATTAAATGGAGGTCTCAGGAACAGGAAATGTAATAACAGAATTGCAACTATTTGTCTACTTGAAGTCAGGTTCCTACCTGTGAATTTGTTCAGCTGTTTATGACTGGATTAAGACTGGAATTGTTTTTAGTAATTTTCTGTTAATGTTTTGTTGATTTTTATTTACAAAATATTAATAGAACCTCTTTTCCTGTTCCTTTTGCTGTCGAGGAGACTTGAATAATATTAGCTCTTTGTTTTACAGAAGGTAAGTTCTGTGAATTCCATAAACTTGCCTTTTTTTTTTTTTCTTTTTTTTTTTGAGCAGCTGAAAGCTCTTTTTGCCAGTAGATTACCTAGAAATACAAGAACTGCAAAAAGTTCTAACAGTGATTAGGAGGAAAGTTAACAAGGATGATTGCAAGCAGCCAAGGTTGGCACAGGAGGCAGGGCAAGTACAATCAACAGGCAAGCTCCCTGACATTCAGTAAGGTTAACTGCACAGCCAAAGTATCATTCAGTGAATGATAACCCATGCACTTAATTCTGGAGTTCTTTGTCACATTGAAATAGGTTACTGTTGTCCTGAATCTGTCACATACTGCTTATGAGAATGAGCGTTCTCAAATTAAATCATACAACAATAGGGTAGTATTTAAAATTGCCCCAATCAGACTTCAGTTTCTTGTGGTGAGATCAGATTCCCATTTTTATGGAGGTGTACTCTACCTTGCATAATAGCTGCTTCTATAAGGCCCCTGTAATCTTGCATCCATGTGATCTCACTGGTGTAACATACAGCTTTTGGAAATTAAAAAAAAATTAAAAAATTGTCACCTGTATTTGGAGTGGACATGGCGGTGATCTTATGGATTCACCCAATATTGGCTGTATCCAAAGTGTGCTGTTTCAGCAAAGGAACTGATTGTCTTGTCTTGCTGGTTGTGGAGATGGTGGTGTGGAGTGGTGTGCATCTGTAAGAGGAAGGAGTCTCTGGCAAGGAGCAAGTACTGAACACAGATCAAGGCAAATTCGGGATGAACTCAGTTGCAGCTTTCAGAGTTTATGTTGTGAAATGTACCATTTAGTCCAATGATAATTAAACCTGTCTCTGTAAATAAAGACACTTTCAGGTCTTGATTCCAGTTTTTTACACCACTAGTGTGAGGAATTGGAGTGTTTTTCTGCATGCATATCATGTATAATAAAATAATGACAGTTAATTTCTCAGTAATGGAATTTAAAAATGCGCCTTCATGAATTTCCAGAGTAACTGTGTAGCTTTATTTCAGAAATACTGAGTCCTCTGGAATAAATATCTTGTGCCAGGTAGTCCTGTGCAGCAAATCTGTTAAGTATACAGCCAACATGATTTCTGTGCTTCAGCAGAGATGTACCTTTCTGGATATGGCTCATGTTGGTTCAGTCTATTTACTTCTAGTCACCCTGATGATGCCAGGTAGCAGTGCCAAGAGCTCTTATGACTTCACTTAAGGGACATGTAAAAACTGGGATCAGTGTGACAGACTTCAATTTAGAAGACTTGCCTAGCTTGCTTACCTAAATCTCTTAATACAAACATTCATATATTTGGGACTTTCCATACTAAAACAGTTGTAATGTTTGCCATAAACAAGAGAAAAATGATCAAAGGTCTTTTTGCAGTTGAAAGAAGCAGCAGATGTGGTGAAGTTAACCTGAGTGGGTTTTTCTTTTTGCCCCAAGCCTTTAAAAATGTTTTCATGTACTTCATGAGTTACTAATGTTCATGGCCCAGTAAGAGATGTTAAATTGTTACCTGCAACATCTTATGAAGACTGGCCCGACCTCAGCTATTAAGTGATGAATTGTAGAAGATGTATTTATACCTAGTCAGATTATCAAATAGATATATCTGACTTGAATGAGTTCAGTGTATCTGCTATTTCTTGTAATTTTCTGATGTTCTGGTTTTTTGCATGTTCTTCCTTGTGTTCTGTGCTATAGCAAGTAGAGATGAGCTCCAATCAAGAAAAGTCAAACTGGACTATGATGAAGTTGGTACATGTCAGAAAGATGTCATAAATGTTTGGGATAAGAAGTTACTAAACTGCAGAGCCAAAATCCGGTGTGACATGGAAGATATGCATTCCACTTTGAAAGAAGGTATTTACGTAGGATGGCTTTTAACTATGAAGTCTGAAATTTTGGGGGTTTTTTGTTGCCTTTTGATACTGAAGGAAGTCTGCCAGCAATGCACTTCTTCCAGTAGCACAAAGTAATGAAAAAATTGCCTTCTTTTTGCAAATGCACCCACCTCCTGCTGCCAAACAGAAAATAGATTCTGCTGTGTCTACAGCTTACAGTGTCAGCAGTGCAGAAACATAGTCATAGTCCTCAAAGTAGCATCTTGTGGCCATGTATTATTACATCCAAGATTGAACTTGGAGCTTCTGCAGCTAACACTGTGACCTTCTGGTTTCTAGTCTGTGGCTCCTATCCAATTGACTATGAGTTTCAGATGCTCTGATTTTACTTACTGAGAAGGCAGGACCATAACATCTAATGTGGACTGTGCCCAAAACTTATGGGAATCACAACCAAGCTTCAGAGAGTCAGAAGGACCACATCTTGTGGAGTCTGGACTATGGTATTCTAATATTTTGTTTATTCAAGTGGAAGGCTGGGGATTTTTACTTGAAGTAGATCTTCTTGGGCAGAAGGGGAGGCAGAGGTCCTTGTTAGTATAATGTGGACACAGAATCTGACTACAGCTCTGTGCCCTCCTCTGCAGAATCTCAGATCTGTATTACAGATGCTGAAAAATCATATTTCAGTGTAATCTGGCTGTAGTACAGAAGGGAAGTTTAAATTGCTACCAAAGAAAATCTTGGTAAAAATAAGGTGGTTCCTGTTAGTGACCTGCAAAAGACTGCCAACAAACAAATTTCCTTGCTGCCCTGTCTGCTGCTGGACTGCAGTTCAGAGTTGGGAACAAGGATATGCTTTTTCTAACTTGTATTGTTATAAAATAATTATTTGCCTGGAAACTATTAGCAGAGTTGACAACAAAGGTTGGTTTACAGAATCAGGGGGATGAATGCCAAAGACCAAAAGTAGACAGAGTTGACAATTTATTTTGACTTCCAAAGGTTGGTTTACAAAGTCAGGGGGATGAATGCCAAAGACCAAAAGTAGCATTTTAATTTAGTTTATGCTTTCACAGGTGCTTGGCTGACTAGAGAGAAATGCTGTCTTGCAATATGAGTGGTTCTGTGTCCTTCCTTTGGTATGCAGCATTAATGCTTTTAGGTTTCAACTGAGCATTTTGTAATCTGTACATCTTTCTCCAAGCCTATGGACTGACTTGAGCAGCCCTTTGGGAAGGGGAAGAGGAGGTGTAGACCTTCCTGTATTTTACATCTCTGAACTTACTTCAGCCTTTCTAAACAGGACAGTCTGCATTTTCCATGTAGTAGTGTATCTTTTCCTGCTGGAGGCCAGCAGCTCAGAGGTGGCAAGATAAGTGATGTCTGTACCCCAATTGCCCAATGTACTGCTTGGTGTAATTACTGTAAGTTTGTAGTTAATGTTTAGTTAGTGTGACTGAACTGTGGCTAGTGAGGGAATATGCTGCAGAGTGGACAATTCCTGAAGCTGACTGTAAGGGATGTTTCCATCCAAGGGATGTCTCCAGAGTGTTTCAGCCAAGATGATAACAGAGCAAATTCTTGCATTATAGCACTAAAAATATGCCCCTGCTTAGGCCTCTTGTTTTTTGACTGACCTGCAGGTGTACCAAAAAGTCGTCGGGGAGAAATTTGGCAGTTTTTGGCTGTGCAACATCGAGTCAGACACAGACTGCCAAACAAGCAGCAGCCTCCTGACATCTCTTACAAAGAACTTCTGAAACAGCTGACAGCTCAACAGCACGCCATCCTTGTAGATCTAGGTATGTCTGTGTGCAGCTAGGAGATTATTCTGATGAGTTTTGTGTGTCTGAGTGGAAACACACCAGTCTTAATGGAAGCTGTTGCTGGAGTAAAAGCTGCTATATCAGCACCACTTCCTGTGTTGTCAGGGTACCTTCTGTGTATGCCACTTAGCATCCTCTAAGCAAATGATGTCTTAAGTTATGCTGTTTGTATTTATACTCTTTTACATCTGTCTGAAAAGAGGAATCAAGCAGTTGCTTCTGCAAGTTCTATGCAGACAAGTATATGAAGTGAGCTCAATGGATACCATCTAAAATCAGTGGTATAATATGGATTGATCTGACTAAAATCAATCTGTATGTGAAAGCGAAAAGAAGAGGTCTATGGGAAGAGAAAAGTGCTGGTTGTCAGGCCTACCTGGCTTTTGTTTGTTTGTTTTTGAGGGGGGAGGAGGTTGTTGGTTTTTTTGTGGGTTTTTGGTTTTTTGTTTGTTGGGTTTTTTTTATTAAAGAATTGAATATCAAATACTTTTCTCTCTTCACATCAGGACGGACATTCCCAACACATCCTTACTTTTCTGCCCACCTGGGAGCAGGACAGCTATCACTCTTTAATCTCCTGAAAGCATACTCTTTGCTGGACAAAGAAGTGGGTTATTGTCAAGGTATAAGCTTTGTAGCTGGAGTGCTGCTTCTACATATGAGTGAGGAACAGGCCTTTGAAATGCTGAAATTCCTTATGTATGACCTTGGCTTCCGTAAACAGTACAGGCCAGACATGATGTCCCTACAGGTAAGTCAGCCTTTCTCCTAAAGCAAACCAGAGTTCTAAGTCACTTTTGACCTCTCAGAGGATGCTCATGTTCTCCAGGGTCTTATGAGGCTTCTGATGTTGTTTTGGAGGTTGTGAGGTGCATGAAAATGTTATTATCAAACCCTTCTCTGACTCTGAATTTGCAAACAGAGAAGTTCAGAACTTGCAGATTTTTCCTGTCACACATCCCCATCATCTCCTGCTTGGAAACTATGCTTTCTCTGGTATTTTGCTCTTTCTTTTCTTTTCCTCATTTCTTTCTCTTCCTTATGCCAAAAACCCGATGTGCTTGCATCTGTATTGATGAATTTTAAAAACAAAATTTTATTTTGTTTTTTCTCAATCCATAAGCACATAGATGTAGATTTTTCTCTTGTAACTCCAAGTGAAATCAATAGTGACACCCAGTGGCCAATGTACTCCACAGGCATTAGTATTTGAGGCTGCTCTGTCTTCCCTCATTATTTGCACCTCTTCTCTCATCATCCTCTACCCCACCACCACCAACACAGAGAGAAAACAGACAAATTTTTAATCATTTAGTTTGCTTATTAAATGATGCATGTTCTGCAATGTTAGTATTTGACAGCTGGCTATAGATACTCAAGGCTGCTTATGAATGAGACAGAAAATCTTTCAGATCTGTGTAAAACTTCAGGGTTTAAAATCTGAGGAATGTTTCACCTTGAGATGTAACTGTCCATTAACTTAAATAACTATATGCTATAGGCCCCTGATAATATAAAGTGATATACCACTGCTGAGTTAAAGCTTATAATCCACAATGCAGAAAGAGAAAACTAAGAGCTACATAGAAAAGATTCTTTCTTTTTTCATGCACAGCAAACACTTACAAAAAAATGTAAGGAGGAGTTTGAGTCCACTTTTCATGACCAGTCACTTTAGGTGCTTATTTGGCAAATTTCCAGAACAATACAAGAGATTATAGTTAAAGAAAATGTATGTGCTTATTCCAAAAATGATAGAGGGGTGTTCTACAGAGGATGCAAGCATGCAATAACAAGTTTGTTGTGATTGAACTAGGGGTGAACAGCCATAAAGAGCATCGTTCTGCCTTTTCCCTGTCCCATTCTCCACCGCTCACCCCCACCCCCAATATGTTTTGAACCAGTGGGGGTCAAAGTGTGATAAATGTGTGGTTGTAGGTTTTTTGTTTTGTTTTGTTTTTTCCCCAAGAAGATGCTCTCTTAATGTTTGTATGTTATACTGCAATTGTAGACTTTCAATAACATATGATGGTTTGAGAGCATTAAGATGTCCTGAATTTCACCTTTCGATTTAAATGAGTCGTAAACTTTCATCATCAGATGCTCTTAGGAAGAATGCTTTTTAGGTTTGAGAAGGTTTACCACTTGTAGTACTGTTTGTCTCTTTTCCCACAGTTTGCTCCTAGGCAGTTATCCTGTCTAGATAAAAGTACAAGTTTTTTTCTGCTCAAGACAAACTAGATTACTGAAGATGACTTAGAGGATCTCACTAAAGCCGAACCCTTTGGTTTGCTTTTTAACAGGAGTAGAGCACTTGCAAACTCTTTTACATTTACAATACTGAAACAAAAATAAGCTTATATACAGAATTACCTTCTGTCTTGTTAAAGAAAAATGTTGGATGTCTCTTTAGGATAATGAAAACTTATTTGACTTATATTTTTTAATTGTTGTCTGGAAAAAGTAGTAATCTCGATCCTTAGTTCATAATGGACTCACCCAACTGGTTTACTGCTTCTGTAATACTATTCTGATTTTACATGTAAATGTGTTTTGTATTGACACTGTCCAAACTGTGCTTAATTAGTATCTTTGGCAATTAAAGCAAGGGCTGAAGAGCATGCACAAATTTAGCTAATTTGCCCGCATGAGAAGTGATCCATCTGCTTGCAGACAGTGCTGACTGATAGGGAGTTAGAAGCATGGTCAGTTTTTGGTGGGGAAGCATCATGACCGCTAAAAGTAGGAAAGTAGATAGATCCAGTAAATTATTTTCTTACTGAGGAATGGATTCACCTTAAGCATAAGGCACTGTTGACAGCAAAATTGGACCTGACAGGTAATCAACATATGTCTGCTTCTCATCTTCTGCTTTCTGAGAGAAGCATTGCTCTGTGCTGTGAGCGACTTACTGTGGAATATAAACTATCAAAATTGCAAGGAAATAATTTGCCACAGAGTGATACTTTCAGGAGTGAATAGCAACCTGTAACTACTTTGCTTTGCAACCATTTACAGGTTGTGTAGCAGCACGTTTGCATTAGTATCTTAAATTTCTCTGGGCCACTGGCACGTGGGAAGTATGTTGTGAAGTACATATGTGGTACACCTCTACTGACCCCCCATATCTAATGTACTCTGGGGTACAGAAGCTGTCTAAAGTAATAACTGTAGCATAGGAGTTTTAAATGCAGAAAAAATATGGCCAAGATTCAAAAGATGAAAGCTGAAATGTGTAAATTTAGCCAGAAATAGTTCAACTTTGTAATGGAGAGTTCTGGCATCTTGGAAGAGGTGCTTCTACTTTCATTTCTGCAAGACTGAAAGTTCTGGTTTGTTGGTAAAGTTAGATCAATATATTCTCTTTTTACCTTAAGCCTGTGAATCTGAAATGATACTTCATTAATAATCAGGTTCAAACTGTTCCTTGTTATTGACTACTGTGTTGATTTTAATTCTTTAGAGGTGGGTTGTTTACATGTGAGTAGATATCACTCTGGGCCCTAGGCAACAATTAAGCTTCATTTTACAGAGCCATCTGTACTGGAGTTAATTTCCCTCAAGTGATATGTGCATGGTTTGGAAAACTGAGTAAAGCTAAACTTTTCTTTCTCTACTTCCTTCCTCCCCCAACCCCCTCATGCACTGTAGATTCAGATGTATCAGCTCTCAAGGCTGCTTCATGATTATCACAGAGACCTGTATAATCATCTTGAAGAAAATGAAATCAGTCCCAGCCTTTATGCTGCACCATGGTTTCTTACACTGTTTGCATCTCAGTTTCCATTAGGATTTGTAGCCAGAGTATTTGGTAAGAAAGTTTATTCTGTTGCAATAATAAACAGAACAATGTTGTCCATTGTATTTTGAAACTCTTAGGGAGTAGTTTTCTACATACTAGGGACATTTGGGGTGACTATTGTGGGTGGCAAGTAGCAATGCTCTTCATGGTGGGATGTCACCTCCTTTTCAAAGAGGAAAACTGAATTGTATTCTTTGAAACATCAGACTTGAGCAATTAAGTATGTCTCCTGTTATTAGCCAAGAGACTTCTGAAGTGTGAACAG